CCGTTTGGGGAGTTACCACACACCTCCAGGTTCAGGAGTTTGAAGTCTCCTCCCCGATTGGGGAGTTACCACACACCTCCAGGTTCAGGAGTTCGAAGTCTCCTCCCCGATTGGGGAGTTACCACCCACCTCCAGGTTCAGGAGCTCACTGCACTGAATTTGGAATAATTTACCGGAATACAGAATATGAATAGGTTTCCTGTTTTTACTGAATCTGTATGCGGGTATCTGCCCTCGAGCAGCGTCTCAGACGCAGAACCCTCCAACTCTGCTCTCAGGCCAGCTGCTCTGCACGAGCTCGCCTTGAACATCGGTGACTCAGGAGCTTCTGCTGGTCAGCTGGCAAAAGCTCAACACTGTTTTCAGCGCCTTTCTCAGCATACAGGGATATTTCATTTAAATGTAAATCTCTCTGCGGATTTAGTGGACATGACTACAGATCCGTTTGTGCTGTGAGACACCGAGGCGAAGAAGAGTCACCCAAGCTAAATAAAACTGAAGCGAGCATCTGACTGGAACAACGCGGACGGCAGAAGGTCGATGCCTTTGGAGAGCGACCAAACTGAGCAGCCTGTGACACAGAAGGCTCTCACACCTCAGCCAGTGCGTTTTATTCCCTTTTATTCTCCCATCATGCCTTAATGGTCTCAAAGCCACTGTATCTATTTTCATTTTGGGGAATTTGTTTTTAATAGTATAAAAATAGTGTTCAGTATTTGAGAGTTTAAGTGTGTGCAGGTGAGACTCAGGTCAGTGATGACTGATTAGTGTTCAGTATTTGAGGGTTTAAGTGTGTGCAGGTGAGACTCAGGTCAGTGATGACTGATTAGTGTTCAGTATTTGAGGGTTTAAGTGGTGTGCAGGTGAGACTCAGGTCAGTGATGACTGATTAGTGTTCAGTATTTGAGGGTTTAAGTGTGTGCAGGTGAGACTCAGGTCAGAAATGACTGAATAGTGTTCAGTATTAAACCTCTACGATGTGAATACATCCATGTGGAGCCTATTCATGTACTGGCTGGGCATGCTGTAGAAAGTCCTCTGGATGTTCCCTCCACGTGCCGACATCAGGCCCAAATAGCCTGAGTGGTAGCTGCCCTCTTCTGGGCTATGGTGCACAGTGAGGGCCATGCGGGGCTGGGCCTGCAGGAGGGCCTGGCGGCCCGGGTACGACCGGCCCAGCGGCACTGCCAGCACCTGCAGGGCCACGTCCTGCCAGGCCCCTCCCAGCAGCGCCATCATGTCCTCCACCAGCACACTGGTGTAGCCCAACGCCAGAGCCTCCCTGGGCCAGCTTGGCGCCAGCGTGACATAGGGGAAGACCCGGTTAATTGTGTTGAGGAACTCCTGACCGTCTATGTAACCAGGGGTCTGGAAGGTTCCGTGGGAGAGGTTCATGTTGATCCAGATTGGATGATGCAGTTGGTCATTATCGAAGGCCTCATTAAGCAGGGCGAGCGTAGGAGCCAGCAGGGTCTGGGATGGAATCTGCAGGAAGAGGCCCCATGGCTTTGGGGAGGCAAGAACCATGCCTAAGAATTCCTGCAGGGGGAGCTGTGGTGTGGAATCTCCAACCAGAATGTCATCTGAATGACCTGGCTTCGATCCCACCGGAATGATCAGCATTCCACCAGGCTGCCCTGCCGGTGAGAGGCAGCGTCCCTACAGTTTAAGGTCTGCATACCTTCAGCATGTGCATCACAATCGTCTGGCTGTAATGCTTCACTGCAGGGATGTAGACGCCCTTACCTCCAAGGGCAGACAGCAGTGACGTCCTGTCACTGACCCGATTCCACTGGATGTTCACGCCATCCTTGTTGGGCGGCTTGAAATAGTCGATGAGGTCTCCTCCCGGGTAGAAACGGCGCAGGCGCCTGCTCAGCCCTGATCAACACACACTGTGTGAGTGGGAGTCACAGGCAGGATCCTGCTGAAATCAGCAGCAGGGTTTGGCAGCATGCAAAGCCCCGAGGCCCTCTGCTGGACGCTCACCGGCTGCCTCTCTGAAGTGCGACAGGACAGGCTGGGACAGGTCATAGTAAACGCGCTGGGGGTGCATGTTGTCCCGCACAAACAGGAGGTCGCTCACACTGGGGTCTTCCGTGCCCTGCCACAGAGTCAGGCTGAACCTGGAGCAGAGGGAACATGGCGCCACCTAGTGGGGCTTCTCAGAGCTACTACAGCACGCATGAAACTGCACGGTTTCCGGTGGTGGAGTGCGTCCATCCAGCCATGCATGATGCGATTTCACAACAAGAAGTTAGAAGCATCAAAAGAATGCCTGGATTTTTGGAAAAGGTCTCGGATATCCAGGCTGCTCATTCCAAACAGCGCCTTGAGGCTTTATCGCTGTTTGACACGCAGTCTAATCAGTTAGGAAGAGGAATTGGGTTTAATATTCATGTTACTTCACACCAACCAGCAGACACGCTCTCCATCATATCAGTCACAGTTTATGAGTTTATAGACTGTGGTAGATAAGACTAAGGCTACGTTCACACTGCCAGCCACATCGTTCAATTGCGATTTTTCGCTCAGGTCGGATTTTTCTATCTTGACGGTTCACATTCATAAGTACAAGTGACCTGTATCTGACTGTAATGTGAACGCATCGGTCTTCCGAAACGTGGTCGTAAAATTGGCACATTGTGCGGCCATGACCACTGCGCTGATTCGAGTCTTTTGCCTCTTTAAACTTTGACTTCAGGCTCTTTATTTTTCTTTGGCATTGTAGCCACGTTCATGTCCACTCTGTGCCATTTCTTTGGCAATTATTTCAAATACTACTCTATTACGATAGGTTCCTTCCAGTTTAGCTTGAACAGATTCATTTCCCCAAATATCAATTAAATCCCCACCTTCTCCATCCTTCCACTGACTTATCGCAGCTCTCCTCCATTTTTACCTTCCCGCGCTGCCGGTGCAGGCTGATGATGTCATCGCATGCGTATAAGCAAAAAGCCACATGAATTCCGATCTGAGCGTCACATTCAGGTCACATGGCCGCGAATCGGATACGTATCCGATTTAGTACCACATATGAAAGTGCCACAAATCCGATTTGAAAAGATCAGATTTGCGTGTCCACACAGCCCTGAAAAGATCAGATCTGTGTCACAAAAAATCCGATTTGAGTCACTTCAGCATGGCAGTGTGAACGTAGCCTATCAGTTCAGGTGGGGCAGCAGTCCCTTGACTCTCTGCCGAGGGGCCCGAACGCCGGCCCTGGGGGGGACCCTACCTGGGGGACTGGCTGAGCAGCCAGCTGAAGTGAGGCCATGCCCGCCTCACCATGACGGCCAGCACAGGAAAGGTGACCCTCTGAGGAACGTTCCGGATGGCCTGGTACATCTGCTCCACCATGGAGCGACTATACGTCACGTTGGGGAAGAGGGGGACGTACAGCACTGCCCACCCAGGAGAGATCGTCGCCTCCGGGAATTTCATTTGGATGAGCTCCAGGAATCTGGATCCACACAGATGAAGATTGCTGAATGAAAGTTTACTTCCTGGTGTGTTCAGAACAGGTTATTTCATACCAAAGCTGCCATGACATAAACCTAGAGGGTCTGAGAGAAGACTAACTCAGATTAATGTGTTTAGTTACAGTGTCAGCTGATGTCTCTGAAGATGACACTTCACCCTGCCTATGTGCAGAACAAAAACACTTTCAGACCCTCAGAGAAGAGGCTGGATTCCGCGGTGGGGGGTAATAGCAGCACTGGCCGCAGATCCAACCGGATGATCCAAGAAGATCCACCCAGCTCTCACCCAGTAACCTGAAACATGTCTGCTTAAGTCTGGGCTGGGCCACCCTCTTCACAGTAACTTCCCATGTGGCCTTTTCCAAAGCGAATAGGAATGATTGAAGATGTCATGGTAGTGCATGTTTTTTCCATTCTCTCACCTGGTGCTGTTCACCACGGGCCAGAAGGCAGGCACATTGGGGCCTGGCAGGATGTCGGCGTTCAGCCAGAGCGGCCGGCTGATGCCCGTTTGGTTCCTGCTCCTCAGAAGCTGCAGTGAAGGCTCCACTGCCTTGATGCTTTTGAAGTCCAGCTTTACCCCTTTATTCAAACAGAAAGAAACGCATCATCACAAGAATGACAAGATGGAATGCAGAAAACATCCAAAAGAGGGCACTAAAACACAACATACATTCAATGAACTATACATCATCAAAGTACTACAAGATTTATGTCGCGCATGACCACTGTTGGAACCTTTCTTAGACTGGAGCACTCGGTCCAGCCAGTCTTGAAGAGTGTTGTCACTATAAACATCGGGGGGGTGGGCCATGATGGGAATACTGGTCTCGTTGGCCGTGTTGTGTCCCTGGATGTTCACGTCAGCCTCCAAGACCATCGCAGAACCTAGGATTGGGCCGTGAAGTTAACATGTCATATCTCAAAAGTCACCGGCGTGTTTGACACCATTTCATTACACCGCAAATACACCAATGGCACTGAGTATCACACATTACGCTGTTGTGCTAGAGATGCTGTTTATTCATGGTGTTTGTAGTTCACCTAAAATAGCAATTTCATAATATGCTACAATTCACAAATTATAAGTGCATTTTGAGTAATAGATGGACTTCCCTGCGTTGTTGTTAACATTGTTAAAACTTCATGAACAAAATGACATCAAAACACAATCTATACTTCTATCTCTACAGTATAAATGCAAATGGAAAGACCATAAAATGTTCATGAGTGTACTGCAATGTGAGGAAAACTATATTTACTTTTCAGGGCTTCCTCCATTTCAGACTTTTTATTGGCTGCATGGTACCATGTGACCTGCAGTCCATCCTTGTCTGTGATGTCACCACTCTGGTAGAGGAACTGCAGCATGTCTCCGCCCGTTGGAAAAGGCATCATGGGAGGTGTGTCTGCAGATAGAGCCAGCTGTAAAGGGAGCCATCTAGTCTGATAGTTCAGTCTATTCTGATAGCTGCATCAGAAACTACAGTTACTGCGGTCTGCGTATACAACTTCTATACAGTTGGTGCGCAGTGATATGTGACCGTGTCCTGAAGGTTGTGGGTTCCAGTCCTGTGGCTGGAAGATTCTGGACACTGGCTGAACCTACCCTCTATGGCATTTATGAAGTAGACCCAATTTCCCCACAGTGTTTTATTCTATATGGCCTGACCAGGATGAGGAGCTGAAAGATTCACATATAAATTGTTTGCAATAAAAATATTAAAGACAATAAGCAGCCTATAGAACAGTGATTAAAATGACTCGTACAATCAAGCCTATCATTTGATATTTTCCACATTAAATACAAGCACAGGTAATTATGAAGGAATCCCATCAGAGGGCGCTTAACCCCACCCCTGTCGATAAATTTTACCGTTGACAACCCCCCCCCCCCCACCATCAAAGGCTCCAGTGGTAAATCTTGCTTAGAGCAACATGCATTTCAAGCTCACTACTCAATCACAAGGCTGCTCAGCCTTAGAACATGATGTTTAGCTTCAGCTCCTGAAAATGGAAACGCAGCATAAAGAGGCGAAAGGCCTGCCAGCACCTCGCAGTGAGGCTTACCTGGTGCTCTGCTCGCCAAGACCGACGCCGTGATGATGGCAGCCAGAAGCAGAGCCAGGCTAATTCCAGTGGCCAGCATGGCTGAGCGCTTCCTACTGAAGAAGCCACGTCGGCCGCCCGGATCCCTCACCTGCACCCCTGCCTCCTTCTCCGCCTCCCCCCTCTCCTTCTGTCCATTTTTCATGACTAATGACAACAGCCCAGTAATGCAAGACAGGCACAGACACGTCCAGCTTACTCTCCATCTGTGTCTGAGTGGAATTTAACCCAGAATACACCTCAGATGGTTAACTTTGAACCATAAGAGAGATAACAGCTCCTCTTATCATCCTCTGGCCATCGAGAACTGTTTCTATAACCTGAAATGGTTTCAGATCAATTGCAGTCTGGTCTGATATCTCGAGAGTGTATACATAGATATACAACATAGAGCAGTTTGTACGGTGTAGATCTAGATATGAGGTGTAGAGCAGCCTGTGGAGTGTTGACCCAGACCCAAACCAGAATACTCAGAAATGCTCACTGTGCAGTGTGGATCAATGGGAGATTGTCCACAATCCCTGCATGGAGTGACTCCTGATTCAGCATGGAGAGAAGGCCTCCCTGCATGTCTGATCATGGAAAGCTGATTTATGGGAGCTGTGTGCAGAAGTATTTGACACTGCGGGGTGTCCCTGAATTTCTCAAGGTGCACATGGTGAAAAGTCTGCAGCACAGAACAGGACATCTATCAGGACAAACATACCACTTACTAACATACATCATGTATACATACATACATACATACATACATACATATAAACCCCTTTCAAAAATTTGGGAAGGTGTGTAAAATATAAATAAAAACAGAATGGAATGATTTACAAATAACATAAACTCACTTTATTGAAAACAGAACAAAGACAAGATATCAAATGTTGAAACAGAAATTGTATTGTTTTATGACAAATATATGCTGAAAATGAATCTGATGAAGTTACCCTGATAAGCCAGTAACCCCGCTTCGCAGTACAGGCCACAGTTGCTGGAGTTTTGAAAGTGAAATATTGTTCCATTCTTGCCTGATTTAGGATTTCAGCTGCTCAGCAGTTCAGGGTCTCCTTTGTCGTGTTTTTCATTCCATGATGCGCCAAATGCTTTCAGTGGGTGACAGGTCTGGACTGCAGGCAGCGCAGTGCAGCACCTGGACTCTACTACAGAGCCATTCTATTGTAATACATGCAGAATGTGGTTTGACATTGTTTTGCTGAAAATATACAAGGCATATACAAGTGCACGTATTTTCTCTGAAAAACATGCACTTGTATATGCCTTGTATATTTTTTCAGAGAAAATACATGCACAGACATACATGCATGTATTGATGCATACCTGCATACATACATACAAACATGCATGCATACATACATACATATAACTGTACCGTGTTAATGTTTTTTGTCCTTTTTTAAACAGAGTAATGGGCAAAGCCCTCAGGAAGAGTGTCTTGGTTCTGGAGATGCGAGTAGAGCCCCCTTTGTCTCTATTAACAATATGAACGCCCTGTCGCTCTGATTTGCCTCTTAATAGAAGCCTGCTTGTCTACGAGGGCATGGTGGAAGCGTGTGTGCTGCGTGCCAACCCAAGTCCCAACCTGGTGAGGTCAGCTGTCATTGTAGTCAGACATTCCTTTTGGGGTTGATCTATTTTTAGGGGGTGGCCACTGTCCCGGGGCCGCCAGCTGCCTGGCTTTGTGCTGCGGAACACAGCCCCGTATTGCGTTTCTGTTTTTGTCCTATTGACCACCGAAACACTGAGAAACAGTCCACAGCGTACGAGCCGATGGGGAATTACAAATCCAGGCCAACCCAGACCTGTACAGGTAGGAATCTGAACACCACAGTGACTTTGTATAGAATGATCCAGATTCCGAAATTAGACATCCGATGACAGGAATGTCACTTGCATGTCATATTCATAGGAACATGTTCTTTCCTTTATTGCAGTGATGTTCTGCCCTCCATGTATGCTCCCGTTGTGTTTTTGTACTATGTACCGTATTGTTTAACCCCTGGCTGCACCATATGTTATCCTGACTGACAAGGCATTAACAAGCTCTCTGTTAACTGCGAACATTACATGTCTTTCTGAAGATGAGTGGAAGAAGAAAGTGAGCGAGTCGTACGCCGTGATAACTGAGAGGCTCGGCGATGATCTGCGCATCAAAGAGAGCGAGCTCATGGAGCTGAAGCACGTCTTCAGGTGTGACCTCCTCGCTCCGGCGTCATTCGTGGCTGCCTCTAGATCCGCCGTTTTCTTAGTAAACCTCTTAATCACATAAAGTTAATAATGACCATGAATTACATGTTATGGGCATGCTGTGTGTTCGTTCGCCCTCTCAAATGAATTTGAAGCTTTGCAGAGATCGGTCATGCTCTTCACCAGCTCTCCATCCATGATGTTCACATGGCAGCTCCGACGAGGCCTTCAGCAAAGTGAACCTGAGTTACCGCACGGAGAGCGGCCTGTCTCTTCTGCATCTCTGCTGCATATGCGGGGGTATGTCAGCTTCAGCCACCTTCAACCTGCAGGGCCCTGCAGCCAAATCAGAGACACTACAGTCTATTTCCCACCAGCTAAAATAGCAATCCTAGTAGACCCAGCTAGTCTGGTAGATTAATCCTAGTAGACTAGTTAACTGGGATTGGCCTAGCCAGACTAGATGTATTTACTTCTGTGTTGCAGGGAACAAGTCCCACATCCGTACTCTCATGCTAAAAGGGCTGCGTCCCTCCCGCCTGACACGGAATGGCTTCACTGCTCTGCACTTGGCGGTCTACAAGGTGGGTGAGATCGCCGGCCATGGAGACCCTGCGTCACCCACATGGACTCAAGAGATCACAGACATGGATGGGAACACAAACTGCTCTCCCAGAAACAGCTGCAAGGACTGCAGTACTGCAAACAGCCTCTGTTTACCTTATCTGCTGCTAACGTCCATGATGCAGCCCAGTAATGAAGAGTGGAGTAGCTGTTCTAGGTCAGAGACATGGTGTAGGGCTGACAAGGGGTATTGTGCTGTGCTGCAGGACAACGCAGAGCTTGTGACAGCTCTGCTGCACGGGGGGGCCGACATCCAGCAGGTGGGCTACGGCGCGCTAACGGCCCTGCACATCTCCACCATCGCAGGGCACCATGAGGTGAACAGCTTGAATCCCACTGAGACAGAGCAGACCTCAATGTAGTCGTGTGCCATACTAAACCTAACCCTAACCCTAACCCCAACACTAACACTAAGCGAAACTCCTTTAATCCAAGCATCACTTCACTATCCTGCTCTGTGTTCAAGGTCGTGGACATTCTCCTCCAACATGGCGCTTATGTCAACGTCCAGGATGCTGTTTTCTTCACACCCCTGCACATAGCGGCATATTACGGCCATGAACAGGTGAGCAGGAGTGAGGGATGTTCCTCAGCCAGGTGGGCTCCCACCATGTTTAATGACACAGACCCTCGCGTTGGCAGGTGACAGTGCTTAACGATGCAGACCCCCACATTGACAGGTGACAGTGCTTAACAATGCAGACCCCCACGTTGGCAGGTGACCAGGCTGCTGCTGAAGTTTGGGGCCGACGTAAATGTCAGTGGTGAGGTGGGGGACCGGCCTCTGCACCTGGCGGCTGCTAAGGGCTTCCTGGGCACCATCAAACTCCTGATGGAGGGAGGCACCCGGGCTGATGGTAAGACCTGGCCTCCATGGTGAGTAGGAGGAAAAAGAGGCCTAGTCTCCAGGGAGGGGGAGAAAGCTTATTCCAGCTCAGTAAAGTGATGAAGAAAGCCTGCTGGTCCATAAGAGAAGGACCATAGGAGATACAGGAGAGCAGGATAGCAGGGCATGTACAGCCGTCATAGTGCACAGATGTCCAACCTGAGAATCTCCAGTCACCCCATTCCAGAAAGAAGATTTGCTGCACAACAATAACTCTAATAGTGAAAGGTCTCTTCACGGTGTGCTGCACTGGTCCCTGTCGTGTCTCTCTCTCAGTGAATGCCCAGGACAACGAGGACCACGTCCCCCTGCATTTCTGTGCACGCTTTGGGCACCATGAGGTGGTGAGGTATCTGCTGCAGGGGAACTTCGATGTGCAGCCTCACTCAGTCAATATTTACGGGGACACACCGCTCCACCTGTGAGTGCACCCCTGAGGGAAGCAGCCGGATGTACAGATGGTCATAAATCCTGTTAAATTCTCTACTCTGCAGCGCCCCCTGCTGCTTTTAATGTGCAGTGCACAGTTGCGGCAATGTGATACTGACATTTCTCTCTCCCTCGTCTTTGTGACTTGGTATTGGTGTCCCACTGTGCTCGTGACACTGTGACACTAGCGCCTGCTACAATGGGAAGTTTGATACAGCGAAGGAGATCATCCAACTGTCTGGCACCGAGAGTTTGTCCAAGGAGAACATCTTCAGCGAAACAGCCTTTCATAGGTATCTTTGCGGCCGGCCTAACTGTGTCCTATTCCCTTCATTGAAGATCGCCACTGACCTATCAGAACACATTTTTCCTGATCTGAATGCTTTTATTATTTTCTCTGCAAACAGTGCATGTACCTATGGAAAAAGTCTGGAGACAGTGAAGTTCCTTCTCAACCAAAATGCAATAAGCATTAATCACCAGGGCAGGGATGGGCACACAGGTAATGGGGTAGGGCTGGTTTGGCGTTTCTGCACGTTGGCGACATGAGGTCACACGAGAGCAGCCCTCAGCTCTCCTGAGTACCCAGCATTCCTGTCTCATGCCCCCCCCCCCCCCCCGTACAGGACTGCACAGCGCCTGTTTCCACGGCCACATACGTCTGGTCCAGTTCCTACTGGACAATGGTGCTGACATGAACCTGGTGGCATGCGACCCAAGCCGGTCCAGCGGGGAAAAGGATGAGCAGACTTGTCTGATGTGGGCCTATGAGAAAGGTGGGGGGGTCCAGACCCCAGACCACAGGGGGGGGGGGGTTATTGGCACGCTCCCGTGGATGAACGACAGTTACCATCCCTCCAAACACCAGACAACTGTTTATTGACGAAAGGATTTCCAAAACCCACATGAGGTCGGCATTACTTACTCATTTACATTTAAAATTCTGTGCAATATAAGCCTGGGCAATGAGTCACACACAGAAAAATATAGTTCAATATGGCTTTAGTTAGGTGTTTAGCTTCAGTGTAGATGTGTAAGGGCACCGCTCAACACTTAGCATAGCATTTAGCATAGCACCTAGCATAGCGACACGGGCAGCCAGACACAGTCAGTGACCCTCTGCCAGTCCCCCCCCCCCAGGTCACGACGCCATCGTCACCCTGCTAAAGCATTACACCCGGCCTCAGGAGGAGTCGCCCTGCAATGAGTATTCACAGCCTGGAGGGGGTGAGAGATTGCTTTCTCTTAGCTAACTTCCTCTTAGTTATACTAAACTCTGATTCACTGCTTTCTTGCCATCTCTGTGCTGAAGATGCTACCTTTAAATAAGGCTCCTCTCACACTCCACAGATGGGTCTTATGTCTCTGTGCCTTCCCCTCTGGGAAAGATCAAAAGTCTGACTAAAGGTAGCCATCGCTAACCGCTAACAACTAACCACTCACTGCTGCCGCTCCCAAGTCGCTCGTCAGCATGAGGGGTATCTCAGAACCTGTGTCTCTGCCTCCAGAGAAGGCCGACATCCTCTTGCTGCGAGCCAGCCTTCCTGCCCACTTTCACCTGCAGCTGTCCGAGCTGGAGTTCAGCGAGATCATCGGCTCAGGTAAATTCGCCAGGGCTGCTTCTGTCACACACACCTGCACACCAGCTTGTAGCAAATCATGACAGCACAGGCTCTGTCCTTGTTTAGGGTCCTTCGGGAAAGTCTACAAAGGGCGATGCCGCAACAAAATAGTGGCCATCAAGCGGTAAATCCTGCCCATCCATGTGAGCTCTTGCAGACCAAGCGAGACCTCAGCAGAATCTGACCTCGGTTTGCTAACTAGGTACCGAGCTAACACTTACTGCTCGAAGTCTGACGTGGACATGTTCTGCCGAGAAGTGTCCATCCTGTGCCAACTGAACCACCCATGTGTAATCCAGTTTGTGGGGGCCTGCTTGGATGACCCCAGCCAGTTTGCGATAGTCACCCAGTACGTGTCGGGGGGGTCCCTGTTTTCCCTGCTGCATGAACAGAAGAGGTGAGCACATCCTTGCGGTGACCCCACCCACACACTCCTGATGTTGGGCAGCTAATGCTGTCTCTTCATGCTAGATACCTGGGAAATCCAGCTGTGTATGGCTGAGGTTCGCTGTTGGCTGTATGTGGGTCTAGGAGTGTGCTTAGTGATAGCTTAAAGCTAATCTCTGATGCTAAAGGCCAGTCATCTCACTCATTATCTGCTATTTATCTCTGTATCTTTGCAGCAGCTTAATCATTTACACTGTCATATCTGTAGACTAAATTTGAAATACATTGTTAATCAGATTAGCTGCTGTTTTCATCTGAAGGTGAGGCCCTCATTAGCGTTAGTGCAGGTGTCCGTGACAGCGGCCATTGATCTGTGTGCACGGTGCTATAATGACTCTCTAATGAACAGGATCATCGACCTGCAGTCTAAGCTCATCATCGCTATCGACGTGGCCAAGGGCATGGAGTACCTTCACAACCTCACACAGCCCATCATTCATCGAGACCTCAACAGGTGCCTTGGGGAGGCAGACGTACCCATGGGTCGTTTGATGCTTCTGCTGTGATACAGAAACCGTTCTACAGTGTTTAATGACTCCTATGTAAATACATGACAATGTGTGCTCGTTACCAAGTCGACAGCCTGTAATATCATATCTTACAGCCATAACATCCTGCTGTATGAAGACGGCCATGCTGTGGTGGCTGATTTTGGAGGTAAAGCTGGCCGTTTCTGCGAGCTTTCCAGCCCTGATGTTCAGTCCCTCATCGTGCCGTCTGTCCCGTTCTGCAGAGTCTCGCTTCCTCATGTCAATGGACATGGACAACATGACCAAACAGCCTGGGGTTTGTTCTTCTTTTCTTTGTTATATTATCAGTCAGCATAACGCTGCTGTTAAAACTGATTTATCAATCCATTCGTAGAGATATGGAGCTGTATCGTTATTATGTATGTTGGACACGTAGAGGTGCCCTGCAACCTTACTCAGCTGCCACACACGATAGTCGACGTGCTAGTCTTAGCATCAGTGTGTCAGTATCAACGTGTTAGCATCAGCCTGTTAGCATCGGCATGTCAGCATCGGTGTGTTAACATTGGCGAGTCAGCCTCTGTCTGTAGGCATTGGCGTGTTAGCATCGGTCTGTTAGCATCGGCATGTCAGCATCGGTCTGTTAGCATTGGTGTGTCAGCATTGGCGTGATAGCATCAGTGTGTTAGCATCAACATGTTAACTTCGATAGTTAGTTCGTTAGTATCGGTGTGTTACCATCGGTGCCTTAGGCATGCACATGAAAGCAATAGGAGCACGAGAGCAGTGCTGATGACCATCTTCTCTGGCTGACCTCCAAGAACCTGCGGTGGATGGCGCCAGAGGTGTTCACGCAGTGCACACGATACACGGTCAAGGCCGACATGTTCAGCTACGCCCTGTGTCTCTGGGAGCTTCTGACGGGAGAGATTCCATTCGCTCACCTCAAACCTGGTACTCCTCTCCCCTGCCACTGCTTCTCGTTACATCCAGAGGATTCCTGAATCCTTTTTTATGTGTTCTGAACTATAGCAACCGAGTATAACCTGATATTTCCTCTGAGTAACACGTTCACATAAATCTATTTAAAACTGCCACAATATCTGGACTCAATGCAAACCTACACCAGCAAATCGACACGAATGTCAGCTTTATTTAACTTTAATCATGCTTCTTAATGACCGTCTCCCCCTATGATGTCCATAGCGGCAGCAGCAGCAGACATGGCATACCACCACATCCGGCCGCCCATCGGCTACTCTATCCCAAAGCCAATCTCCTCCCTGCTGATGCGAGGCTGGAATGTCTGCCCAGAGGTGGGGACCCCCTGCTCATTTCACATCAGGGCCAGAGTCTTTCACTATCTGCCCATTTTCACAGCTTCAAAATCCTTCTATGTCCACATGTGTCACACTTAATGTCTGGCACAAACTTTACTTGGCATTGTGTGTTCAGTGAGTCACCATTCATCAAAAAGCAGTCAGGGTTACTTGATCTGTTTTTGATATAGAATAAAATAAAATAAGATAAAGCCAACATGACCAACTAGCCAACTGCTACCCTGGATAAGGGGCCTATCACATATCAGTCAGATGAGTTGTTCATAGACAGTTGTGGGTTATACCAGTGATTGTCTGCCTGTGTTTCATTTCTTCATCATATCAGCTTCCTCCTGGGCACAAGTGATGGCCTTGATGGGCCTGTTGAATGACAGACTAAATAGAGAACAGGATGTCACCATCAGGAGATTTATTTCTATATCTGAATGAGCTCTGATATCTACAGAGCATGTTGGAAGGCATTTCAGATTATCTTCTCAAGTGCACCCTGCAGTCTGTTGCTCTTCATGCTATTATTAAGGATGTTCAAGCCATCAAGATTGGCATCAGCCTGCCTCCTGTGATTGAGTAGGGCTCTCCTGTGATTGGGCAGGGCTCCTCTGTTATTGGTCAGGGCTCCCCCTGTAACTGGGCAGGGCTCCCCTGTAATTGGGCAAAGCTCCTATGTTATTGATTAGGGCTCCCCTGTGACTGGACAGGGCTCTCCCCTGATTGAGATTGGGCAGGGCTCCTCTGTCATTGGCAAGTGCTCCCCTGTGATTGGACAGGGCTCCTCCGTCATTGGTCAGGGCTCCCCTGTGATTGGACAGGACTCCTCCGTCATCGGTCAGGGCTCCCCTGTGATTGGACAGGGCTCCTATGTCAGAGCGACTCAGATACAGCATCTGTACTCTCAGTCTCCAGGAGCACTGCTCTTGCACTCTCTGCTGGGCTGAGAGCAGCAGGCTCCATGGACTCGGGCTCAAGCAAGCCGCCGCTCTGAGTGTTGTCCATTACAATACTGTCTCTGTGTTCATCCTTATCAGAGACTCCTGTGGCCCCAAGCGCTCTCCTGTCTGTGCTTTCTGCTGCTTCCTGGTTGGCTGAGGTGTCGGTGTGTTCTTTCTGCGGTAGAAGGTTTAGTGCTCCGAAGGCCTGGTCAGGGTCTTCACCCATGTGCTCTTTTTCTCGGTCATCGGCTCTGTCTGTTGAGTTCATATTGGAATAGCTTTGAGATGGGTTTTCGGGAGGTGTGTGTGAGCCAGATGAATGTCTTTGGGTAAGATCTGGACTCTCCAGTTCTCCTTCATCTTCAGAAGGTCCTTTTACAAATTCAATAGGGGTTTCACGGTGTCCATTGGGTATTTCTCCTACCCCCAGTGGTGCTGCATGGTGAGTCTCACTAGCTGACACTTCTTGTACAGCATTTTCTGACATCTCTCTTTTCTTGGATTGTGCAGAGAAGACCCCGGCTCCATCTTCTTCTCCCTCTGACATTGGGTGTGTCTGACATCCAACTGTATTCCTTACTGATAAGGCTTCCTGTCCGTGTTTGTTGTTTAGTGGGCGTTTCACTTCTGTAGCACCACCACGGGTTATTTCCATGCCATCCTTCAGTCTGGCTGATTTCCCTTTTGGTCTAGGCCTGTTTCTAAGGTGATGACTTTGGCCGGGCACCTTGTCATAAGCTTCTTGTCTCGTTGCTGGTTTATTCCTGTTATCTTTCTGCACTTTCATCCGAGATCCTGGTTCTCTTGTCTCTGGGCATAAATCAGCCTCTTTTTTGATATTTCTGGTCTTTTTGTGTCTCTCAGTTCTTCCTAAGGCCTTCTGTCCAGTTGGAAGTTCCTTTTTATGAATTGGATGGACTCGACTTTTCTTTAGTGGGTTCAAGTTGAGCTTTACTTTCAACAAGCTGTTATTCAGTTCCTGTTTGTTTGTCCAGTCCTGAATCACCCATCTCTCATCTTTCGGGGTCTCGTTGTTAGGGGGCCACACGACTGGCCCTTGACTCTCTGGCTTGTCCTGCAGTTTCTTCTTGTTTGGGAGTGTCAGCACACATATGTCTGGGTCTGTCAAGTTAAAGGTGACGTTTCTCTGCGGCTGTAAATGCAGACCAGTTCTCCTCTGCTGATGTTCTGGACCTTGAGTGTCTACATGACTGTTCATGTTCCTGAGGTTGCTCTCTCTGTAGAGTTTGGCCACCATGCTTGATGGTCTCTCTGTAAGGTGCGTGTGGGTCATACTGTCCTCTCTCCTACACCGGCTCTGGTTTCCCAAGAGTCGGTACTCATATGCTTTCTGACGGTGCACGCAGCTCACTGCCAGGCACTCTGGTAGAGTCTCAATGCTCTGGACTTTGGATCTGAGGCTGTTGTCCTCAGGGTATCTGTAGCTGCTGCCAGTTGCCCTCTTGGAGTTCAGCAGGCTCTGTGTTGGTTTATCCCAGTGGTAAGTGGACAGATGGCCAACAAAGTCCTTCTCCTCAGACAATCCTGCATTTTGGCGCTGGCACATGAAACGTTCCTGGTTGTTTAAGACATGGTGCTCAATTTTTGATCTCTCATAGTGGTTTTGAACTCGGTAGTCTGTAACATAACACGGGTTTTAAGAGTTAGAAACACAGTATAACCATGATTCACATTTCATCCTTCATTTTCTCACTGTCTTTTTTGATTCGTTAAAACCTTAAACCGACTTGGTAGAACAAATGACTGGCTATTTATAATTTTCTAGACTGATTACAGTGTCATTTTAATCACGAAGAGAAAGCAGCTCCCTCTATTGATGGAGCGCCTTCTCAGACCTTCAGTACTGTACCTCTGTTTGGCTTCAGCCCAGCCTCTGATGCCAGGGTGGGACTGAAGCTCCCGCCGGCATCAGCCCAGACGTGCTCTCTCAGCATGGCGGCTGGCGGGCTGCAGCGGTAACACGGAGAGCAGTGCTCTGTGTGTGGCAGAGCCCTCTCTCTAGCTGCGGGTTCGAAGGCTAGCTGCCGCTCCCGCTGGGGAAATGCCGCTTTGGCATCCTGCCCGGGGTGAGTGATGGTGAGGATCTGCACGTTACTGTCTTCGGTGAATCGGCACTGCGGCGATCCCTGGCTCTGCGAGACGGCACCTGTGCCGCCTGCCTCCAGCGCAGCGAGGCTCCTCTCCCTCCAAGACCTCAAACTCCTCTTCTCCATTTTGCAGTAGATGATGTAAAGAGCAGCAACGGTCAGCCCCACACCACCTGTAACCCAGCAGGGTCGTCACACAGCTAAAATCCCCTCAGACTATCCTTTAGCTCTACGCTACGCCTTACGCTATGCCTCATTTTCTTCCGTACACATATAGTGTAGAGAACACATAAATGTCACATAAGGGTCACTGGAAAACATTTAAAAAATGTTGCCACTCTGGTAGAATAAACCTCCTGGTCCTCCAGAAACCAGCAGAGACCTCTTTACGACGGATCGTTCATTGGAGCTCTCAGTGAGGCCCGGCAGTAGCTTACCAGCAAAGAAGAGGCAGGCTGCCAGCGAGACATCCCTAGCGTAGCGCTCGAGGCCGACACCCCCTCCGGCCTTCACCAACACGGTGATGTTCTCGTTGGGTGGCACACAGTTGGCTTCTGTGAGCTGCAGCACAGTTTGCACGGCAGGGTTGGCCGAGCTCACGCAGACCAGCTTGCGTCCGTTGTAGAGCACCTTGTCTGGGGCCTGCATGTAGCTGCTGAGGAAGGAGGCCAGCTCCTGCAGCTCGCACGTGCAGTTCCACTGATTGTAGTCCAGGTTCAATGCAGACAGCCAGGTCAGGTAGGAGAAGGCATCCGGGGTGCTGCGCAGCCTGTTCCTGGACAGGTCCAGTCTGCGCAGCTGAGGAAGGCCATGGAAGCTGCCCTTGGCTAGAAAGTCAATCAGGTTATCAGAGAGGTCTAGGCTCTCCAGTTTGTCCAGGCTGGCGGATTTGAAAGTGCCGGCAGGTAGCTTGGTGATGAGGTTCCCTTCTAGCTGCAAGGTCAGGAGGTTCCTCATCCCTTGGAACCAGCTGCCATTGATACCCTTGAGGGCATTGTTTCCCAGCTGTAGCATCTCAAGACTCTGCAGCTGGATGAAGACCGAATCCGGGATGGAGACACTCGTGATGTGGTTGTGGTCTAACAGCAGGATTCTGAGGTGTTTCAGGTCCTGGAAGGCATTCTCCATAATCCCCAGGATGGCGTTATTGCTCAGTCCCAGTAGAGTCATGTTGGATAAATCAGACAAGGAGCTGTTGTCCACCAAGGTTATCCGTCCATCTGTGAGCATCAAAGCCTTTGTGGTCTCAGGAACCACTATAAACCAAACGAGGAAGGGGGGGTTTATGAGCACTAAAATGTGAAGACGTTCCAGTGAAGATGATGCTTTAGACGGAGGTCACCCACCTATGATGCTGGAGAGCTTATTGCAGATGGTGATGTCCAGTGAGCACATACTGCATGACTGGGCTGGACATGAGGTGCAGAACTTCATGTAGGCTGTAGATATCAGCAGAACGGTGAGAATACCTCAAGGATACAGAGAAAGAAGGAAGAAGGCTTGGATTGTGGG